TTACCTACCATTGCTTATCAGACATTTAGCCAGACGTTGTCTACCTTTGTGTATCAGACATTCAGCCAGACGTTACCTGCCATTGCTTATCAGACATTTAGCCAGACGTTGTCTACCATTGTGTATCAGAAATTTAGCCAGATGTTACCTACCATTGTATATCAGACAATTAGCCAGACGTTATCTACCATTGTATATCAGACATTTAGCTAAACGTTTCCAACCATTGTATATCAGACATTTAGTCATACGTTACCTACCATTGTATATCAGACATTAGACGTTACCTACCATTGTATATTAGACATTTAGCCAGACGTTACCTATCATTGTATATCAGATATTTAGCCAGACGTTACCTTCCATTGTATATCAGACATTTAGCCAGATGTTACCTAACATTGTATATCAGACATTTAGTCATACGTTACCTACCATTGTATATTTAGCCAGACGTTACCTATCATTGTATATCAGATATTTAACCAGACGTTACCTACCATTGTATATCAGATTGGTTACCTACTATTGTATATCAGACATTTAGTCAGACGTTACCAACCATTGTATATCAGACATTTAGTCATACGTTATCTACCATTGTATTTCAGACATTTAGCCAGACGTTACCTACTATTGTATATCAGATATTTAGCCAGACGTTACCTTCCATTGTATATCAGACATTTAGCCAGATGTTACCTAACATTGTATATCAGACATTTAGTCATACGTAGCCAGACGTTGTCTACCTTTGTGTATCAGACATTTAGCCAGACGTTACCTACTATTGTATATCAGATATTTAGCCAGACGTTGTCTACCATTGTATATCAGATATTTAGCCAGACGTTGTCTACCATTGTATATCAGACATTTAGTCAGACGTTACCAACCATTGTATATCATACATTTAGCCAGACGTTGTCTACCATTGTATATCAGACATTTAGCCAGATGTTACCTAACATTGTATATCAGACATTTAGTCATACGTTATCTACGATTGTATATCAGACATTTAGCCAGACGTCACCTACCATTGTATATCACACATTTAGCCAGACGTTGTCTACCATTGTGTATCAGACATTTAGCCAGATGTTACCTACCATTGTATATCAGATATTTATGCATTCTTTACGTACCATTGTATATCAGACATTTAGTCAGACGTTACCAACCATTGTATATCACACATTTAGCCAGACGTTGTCTACCATTGTGTATCAGAAATTTAGCCAGATGTTACCTACCATTGTATATCAGATATTTATGCATTCTTTACCTACCATTGTATATCAGACATTTAGACAGACGTTACCTACCATTGTATATCAGATTGGTTACCTACTATTGTATATCAGACATTTAGTCAGACGTTACCAACCATTGTATATCAGACATTTAGTCATACGTTATCTACCATTGTATATCAGACATTGAGCCAGACGTTACCTACCATTGTATATTAGACATTTAGCCAGACGTTACCTATCATTGTATATCAGATATTTAGCCAGACGTTGTCTACCATTGTGTATCAGAAATTTAGCCAGATGTTACCTACCATTGTATATCAGACATTTAGTCATACGTTATCTACCATTGTATATCAGACATTTAGCCAGACGTTACCTACCATTGTATATCAGATATTTAGCCAAATGTTACCTACCATTGTATAATAGACATTTAGCCAGACGTTGTCTACCATTGTATATCAGACATTTAGTCATACGTTATCTACCATTGTATATCAGACATTTAGACATACGTTACCTACCATTGTATATCAGATATTTAGCCAGATGTTACCTACCATTGTATATCAGACAATTAGCCAGACGTTATCTACCATTGTATATCAGACATTTAGACATACGTTACCTACCATTGTATATCAGATATTTAGCCAGACGTTACCTACCATTGTATATCAGACATTTAGTCATACGTTGTCTACCATTGTATATCAGACATTTAGTCATACGTTACCTACCATTGTATATCAGACATTTAGCCAGACGTTATCTACCATTGTATATCAGACATTTAGACAGACGTTACCTACCATTGTATATCAGACATTAAGCCAGATGTTACCTACCATTGTATATCAGACATTTAGCCAGATGTTACCTACCATTGTATATCAGACTTTTAGCCAAGTCGTTACAGGCCCTGTTTTTGTCATGGTTGATGATCTCCTGAAGCTTGTAGTGAAATCTTTCCACCTCCAACATGCGTTCACGAGGTCGGAAGTCACATAACCTTTGTCTGTCCATGATCCCCAAGGCACACAGGGCACTTGGGTACTCAGCACAGCAGTAGTAGTCTGTCTTTAATAAACAGAGTTAGACATTTGTTTACAGTACATATTGTAACCAAATCATAAAACCCCTAAAATATAGAAAGTGTCTTTCATGATTTTTTTCCTAATTTTTTAAGATCTTAAACTGCAGGCTATTTGGGATTTTGATCAAATATTAAGACGCAAAAAAGCCTAAAACCTTTATAAAGCTTTTTTTTGACCGAGATCAAGAGCAATGATCACGATTCACATTTTTATGTTTGGAAGATGGCTGCTGAGAAAGATTTTACAAAAGGCCTTGAACCCATAACCCTTGACACAGTAGCCGTACTTGTGAAACACTAGACCACAGCTATATATCCCTTTAAATAGCTAAATCATGTGAGAACTCATCGGTGCTATGTTTGAGACCAAGAAACTAAGCTGATCCAGTAGTGATTCATGTGTTTGAAAAATAACTTTAAAATGAAAAGTGAGTTTTTGTCCCTTCTTGTTATTTCCAGTAATAATTTTTATGCAACAAGGTAGTATATACTCCACTGATGGATTTCCAGTCACCGAGGCTAGCCGTGACATTGTGAATGGAATTATTCTGACATGGTTTACATGCAATATTGGTTTAAATATATATACCTGGTAATTGATATAGTACATGTTGCATAAGTACATTACAAAGTGATTTATATAAGCGCTTTCCCTTTTTTGCTTTTCTACTTAAACAAGTATTTCAAAATAGTTTGTATGTGGAGTTTTTATTTATTTGACCTTGACAGCCAGGCTGTTGAAAAAACAAAAATACTTACTGTCCCCTCCACTATGTTACAGGGCAGATAACCAAGTTGTGTGAAAAATGTTGAATTTTGGTATATATATATCAATTTATTTTATTGATGTTATATTTTTCATCAATAAAAGAATTGACGAAATGCCATATTGTGCAGTAAAATTTAACTTTGTTTGACCTTCTAATTTCAATACATGATGTTCAAATAGGTATTTCATTTTTTTGTATTCTAATCATTATTTTAATAAAATTTAACAGTCTAAGATGCTGATTTAATGTCCAGTCAGTATCCATCACGACAGTAATACAATACAAGAAACTGTATTTAACGTCGCATACAGGTAAACAAGGAACATTAGCTCTTTAGAGCTATTGTTGCGACAAACATATGTAAACTAACAATAACACATTATATTACAAGTAAAGGGAGATAATAACATATATTAATAAAAAGCAGTAATAATTATCACAGAAAAAGAGAATATCCATATCCCAGGTATGTAAGTGATTGGGAGTCCCCTACCTACAAAGGCCCCGGGATATGACCCTTTTGAAACAATAAATATATAAAAATAGTGTTGATATATGAAAAGCATTAAATGTGATCACAGATAAGTAGTATTCAAAATAAGTAAATAAAAGACATAGTTAATAGTGAATGAATACTTGTATATCGCACAAGAATTACTTAGGACCTAGGACTAAAACACTTATGAAGTGGAATATACATTCAATGCTAATATAGCAAAGAATAAAAATTGACAGATTAAACAATCTGTGAGGGACATGCCTGTATTCTAATTAACTGCAATCGTCTCAAGAATCATCAGTCTGATTATGGATCAACCCCTCGGGTTGAGATTCTCCTATCTTACCCCCAAGGGGGTGAAAGATTCTATTAGTCACCCCCTCGGGGGAGATAGCCTGGTGCCGATAAGCATGTGTTCAATTATGACGTCATTAAAATTCGTCATCGGTAATTGTGACGTCATCAAACGTGAATGACGATATACATACCCCACATCTGTTTACAAACATGGCAGACTACTGTGGGTGGAGCTGTGAAAGAATTAATAGGATGGGAGAAAAATAATCATCCCCCACCTTGAGGGTGTAACTGAGAAATCTCGGCAGAGCCTCGGATGAGACAACCAAAAAGCATCCTCCCTCGGGTTGGAGATTTCTCTGTCACACCCTCAAGGTAGGGGAAGATTCTATGAATGAATTTAATTCATTATAGTTCGGTGTATTGGGGTCAAAAATACAACTTCGCAGTGAAGGTATTTTTACGGTATGAAAATGTGGGAGAAAAATAACCAATCACTCCTGTGTGATGTAGACAGACATATCTCACCCTCTGGTTGAAATATCTCTGTCTACATCACACAGGAGTGATAGATTTTATTTCTCTGTCTACATCAGACAGGAGTGATAGATTCTATTTCTCTGTCTACATCACACATGAGTGATAGATTCTATTTCTCTGTCTACATCACACAGGAGTGATAGATTTTATTTCTCTGTCTACATCACACAGGAGTGATAGATTTTATTTCTCTGTCTTCATCAGACAGGAGTGATAGATTCTATTTCTCTGTCTACATCACACAGGAGTGATTGATTCTATTAGTCTTATATACAAACATTTCCACTACAAACAGGGAAATTCAGTAAGTTGTGACGTACCTTTTGGTCTCCGATTTTCTCTGTGATTTTATACACTGCCGGAGTGAATTCTCTACCAGCAACTGGAATATGGAGAGTGCCGACATACTGAATGTTGGGGTCAAGGTCACTGATGCTGGGCGGACCGTGGGCACTGGTAGGCAGTAACATGAAGAGACAAACCGGCATGTGGCCGGGGAAGGCCTGGAACCACTTACTTCTGGTCACATGGGTAGCCAGTTCTGAAACGTTCCATTTCACAAAAGGTGACTTAAATATTAATTCATATTCAAGATGAAAATTATAATATAGGAAACGTTTCAAGTACATCTCTGCAAGTGTTTTAACAGATACATTTCCTTTCGCAGCAATGAAATATTTTATTAACATGTATGTATACATATAATAGAGCATAACCACTGGGTTATTGATCAATATCAACATGTATTTATACATATAATAGAGCATAATCACTGGGATAGTGATCAATATCAACATGTATATATGCATATAATAGAGCATAACCACTGTGTTAGTGATCAATATCAACATGTATGTATAAATATAATAGAGCATAACCACTGGGTTATTGATCAATATCAACATGTATTTAAAAATATAATAGAGCATAATCACTGGGTTAGGGATCAATATCGACATGTATGTATACATATAATAGAGCATACCCACTGGGTTAGTGATCAATATCAAGATGTATATATACATATAATAGAGCATAAACACTGGGTTAGTGATCAATATCAAGATGTATATATACATATAATAGAGCATAAACACTGGGTTAGTGATCAATATCAAGATGTATATATACATATAATAGAGCATAACCCCTGTGTTAGTGATCAATATCAACATGTCTGTATACATATAATAGAGCATAACCACTGGGTTATTGATCAATATCAACATGTATTTATACATATAATAGAGCATAATCACTGGGTTAGGGATCAATATCAACATGTATGTATACATATAATAGAGCATAACCCCTGTGTTAGTGATCAATATCAACATGTCTGTATACATATAATAGAGCATAATCACTGGGTTAGGGATCAATATCGACATGTATGTATACATCTAATAGAGCATAACCACTGGGTTATTGATCAATATCAACATGTATTTAAAAATATAATAGAGCATAATCACTGGGATAGTGATCAATATCAACATGTATTTAAAAATATAATAGAGCATAATCACTGGGTTAGGGATCAATATCGACATGTATGTATACATCTAATAGAGCATAACCACTGGGTTAGTGGTCAATATCAGCATGTTTGTATACATATAATAGAGCATAACCACTGTGTTAGTGATCAATATCAACATGTTTGTATACATATAATAGAGCATAATCACTGGGTTAGGGATCAATATCGACATGTATGTATACATATAATAGATCATAACCACTGGGTTAGTGATAAATATCAACTGATTTGTTTTTACATAGTAACATGTATGTATACATATAATAGAGCATAATCACCGGGTTAGTGATCAATATCAACATTTATTTATACATATAATAGAGCATAATCACTGGGTTAGGGATCAATATCGACATGTATGTATACATCTAATAGAGCATAACCACTGGGTTATTGATCAATATCAACATGTATTTAAAAATATAATAGAGCATAATCACTGGGATAGTGATCAATATCAACATGTATTTAAAAATATAATAGAGCATAATCACTGGGTTAGTGATCAAGATCAACATGTATATATGCATATAATAGAGCATAACCACTGGATTAGTGATCAATATCAACATGTATATATAAATATAATAGAGCAAAATCACTGGGTGAGTGATCAATATCAACATGTATATATGCATATAATAGAGCATAACCACTGGATTAGTGATCAATATCAACATGTATTTATACATATAATAGAGCATAATCACTGGGTTAGGGATCAATATCAACATGTATGTATAAATATAATAGAGCATAACCACTGGATTAGTGATCAATATCAACATGTATTTAAAAATATAATAGAGCATAATCACTGGGTTAGTGATCAAGATCAACATGTATATATGCATATAATAGAGCATAACCACTGGGTTAGTGATCAATATCAACTGATTTGTTTTTACATAGTAACAGATATATATAATATCATTTTGGCTATTCCCATATAGTGATTGACTTTTTTTTATAGGTTATTCAACCAAAAGTGACGACGTCATACCGCAATGTTTGCACGGTATTCAAAGTTCATCGGCGACGAATTACAGCATAGTGTTGCAACTGGACTAAACTACAGTTAAAGAGCTTTGTCTAATGTTGGTTTTGTTTTTGTCAAATTTGAATATACTCATTTATTATGCACTGAAAGTGTTTTAAAGTTTTGAATATTTTAAACTGAATAATAAGAAAAGACCAGGATTGTTAGCGGGTTTACAGCATATACCGAGAACAATGATTCATATGGAAATTGATCAAATGTAAGTAAGAATTTAACTAACAAGCAAAAATACTTGTGTAAGAACCATGTAGAAATAGAAGAAATGTTGTGTTTATGTCCAAGAGAAAATAATATAAAACATTCTGTATCTCAACAAGTTTAAAATTATGTGATATATATATATATATATATATATATATGAAAAACCAGTACTCATTTATATACAAAACAAGCCATAATAAAAGAAACATATCTTGTGAACTTGTACTGATATATAAAGCACATGGCAAGATATGGTAATCTTAAATCTCATAATGTGATCTATATGGAAGTTGAAATAAAGTAAATAAGAATTTACCATACAAGAGCAGAATACTTGTGTAAGTATCTTGTTGGAAATGAAGAAGCAAAACAAATAAACTTCTATATTGTAATACAATGTATATCATGTATATTAAATTATGCAGAAAAATCATAAAAAACATTTAAATTGGTTTTTTTTGCATTTTTGGTGCAAAAAATAGATTTATGCTATGTATAAGTGCACAGAATCATTTTGTATGTATTTTTGTCACCACATCAACCCGAACATTGATATAATTAAAAGATGTATTGGTAAATCCTTACTGCACTTTACCTTATAACATTGATAGTTTAAACCATCTCTACTTATTACCTGGAAGAATGATTTTAAGATATCCTTGGAAATGAGACCAGGCCATCCCTGTAGCAAAGTTTCCGGCAGGTAGAAGTTCATTCAAGGTCGTTTCAGCTGGAGAAATATATACGTAAAATGAATACAAATATTTACACTGTAGATTTTGCCTTTAAATATTGCGTTACCATATTTTGGATAGTGTTTTCGTCAGTGAAATTGGTAATATATTTTCTAACAAGAGGCCCAGAGGGCCTGTATCGCTCACCTGGATATCAAGTAATCATGGCAAAAAAAAATCCAAATAAGATTCAAAGGAATGGGCCAGACCCCAAGGACATTCCTTGTATCCTATCTGTATTAGATTTTTCATGCCCAGCAATTTTATGTTTGGTTATGGGGTGGGGATCTCAACTGGTTAAAAGGTGTGACTCAGAAACTAGGTCCCAGGGGTTGTGGCCAGACCCCAGGATCAATAATAATATCATGGCTGCATTTGTCTCTTTATGCCCAGCATTTGTATATACAGTTTTGGGGTGGGGATCTCAACTGTTTCAAAGTTATGACCCAGAGGTTAAGTCTGCGAGGGTTGGACAGACTCCAGGGTCAATTCTAAGATCATGACTGCAGCCCCACCATTTGTACAATTTTGAATCCCCACTACCTAGGGATGCTTCCAGTCAAATATGGTTGATATTCATCTTTTAGTTGTAGAGAAGAAGTCGCTCAAAGCAACATAGCCAAAAAAACTTTTGGCCCCGCCCCTCAGTCCCCTGGGGAGTCAACCCCACCATTTGTACAATTTTGAATCCCCACTACCTAGGGATGCTTCCAGTTAAATATGGTTGATATCTATCTCTTAGTTCCAGAGGAGAAGTCTCTAAAAGCAATAAAACCATATAAATCCCTTTTGGCCCCACCCCTCCGCCCCTGGGGGGTCAGCCCCACCATTTGTACAATATTGAATCCACATTACCTAGGGATGCTTCCAGTCAAATATGGTTGATGTCCATCTTTTGGTTGTAGAGAAGAAGTTGCTTAAAGCAATATAGCCAAATAACCCTTTTTGGCCCCGCCCCTCAGCCCCCTTGGGGTTAAGCCCAACCATTTGTACAATTTTGAATCTCCACTACCTAGGGATGCTTCCAGTAAAATATGGTTGATATCCATTGCACAGTTCTACAGGAGAAGTTGTTTATAGCAATATAGCCAAATTGTTCCCTTTTGGCCCCGCCCCTCAGCCCACTTGGGGATCGGCCCCATCATTTGTACAATTTTTAATCCCTGCCTCCCACGAATGCTTCTGACCAAATATGATTGATATCCATTTCACAATTCTACAGAAGAAGTTGTTTATAGCAATATAGCCAAATTGTCCCCTTTTGACCCCGCCCCTCAGCCCCCTGGGGGGTCAGCCCCAGCATTTGTACAATTTTGAATCCCCATTACCTAGGGATGCTTCCAGTCAAATTTAGTTAAATTCCAATTAGTGGTAAGAAGAAGAAATTGTTTGAAGAAATTGTTGACGTAAGGACGACAGACGGACAGACGACGGAGGCCACGGGTGGCATAAGTCCGGAGGACCAAGGTGAGCTAATTAATAATATACTATTTACTACTTATACCCCGACATACTACATTTTTCATCTTTCTTTTCAAATACATGTATGAATTTTACAGACATCTGACATTACATTCACATGAGTTTATGCACTCTTTTCTTTGCCGAAACATTATTTTCAAAAGAATAATTAAAAATATGTTTAAATTAATCGAACTTAACCAATACCTGACTTTATTGACACATGATTTTACTGACACCTGTCTTTATTGATGCCTGTCTTTACCGACAGTTGACCTTATTAATAATGCCAATCTCACCTTGCAGACACCTCACTTTACAAACATCTGACTTTACCGACACCTGACTTAACAAACACCTGACTTTACAAACATCTGACTTTATATACCAACACCTGACTTTACCAGTTCCTGTTTTAACCGACACCAGAATTTACCGACTCCTGACCTTTTGGACTCCCGGAAATAGCTGACTTGCTTTAAAGGCAACAGACTGGTTTCTCTGTCTTAACACTTGCTGATATTAAATTCTTTTGTCTTATTCAACCAGATAGTATAACTCTAGTGTAGGTCAGTAAAGACAGGCGAATTCAATTTTAAGTCTAGTGTAGGTCAGTAAAGACAAGCGAATTCAATTTTAACTCTAGTGTAGGTCAGTAAAGACAGGCGAATTCAATTTTAACTCTAGTGTAGGTCAGTAAAGACAGGCAAATTCAATTTTAACTCTAGTGTAGGTCAGTAAAGACAGGCAAATTCAATTTTAAATTCATTAAGTGCAAGTGAATACTGTTGAAGTATAACATGATGTTTTATCATACGACAGCATAGACTATTAGTTCATGTTAATAACATTAAAATGGTGAACTTAAACGATTGTCAGACGGGCAGACATCATTGAAAACTTACCTTTTACCTTCATACAGACTTGTGTCATGTTAAATAGCATTAAAATGGTGAACTTTAACGATTGTCAGACTATTAGTTCATATTAATAACATTAAAATGGTGAACTTTAACGATTGCCAGACGGGCAGACATCATTGAAAACTTACCTTTTACCTTCATACAGAGTTGTGTCATGTTAAATAGCATTAAAATGGTGAACTTTAACGATTGTCAGACTATTAGTTCATGTTAATAACATTAAAATGGTGAACTTTAACGATTGCCAGACGGGCAGACATCATTGAAAACTTACCTTTTACCATCGTGCAGAGTTGTGTCATGTTAAATAGCATTAAAATGGTGAACTTTAACGATTGTTAGACTATTAGTTCATGTTAATAACATTAAAATGGTGAACTTTAACGATTGTCAGACGGGCAGACATCATTGAAAACTTACCTTTTACCATCGTGCAGAGTTGTGTCATGTTAAATAGCATTAAAATGGTGAACTTTAACGATTGTTAGACTATTAGTTCATGTTAATAACATTAAAATGGTGAACTTTAACGATTGTCAGACGGGCAGACATCATTGAAAACTTACCTTTTACCATCGTGCAGAGTTGTGTCATGTTAAATAGCATTAAAATGGTGAACTTTAACGATTGTTAGACTATTAGTTCATGTTAATAACATTAAAATGGTGAACTTTAACGATTGTCAGACGGGCAGACATCATTGAAAACTTACCTTTTACCATCGTGCAGAGTTGTGTCATGCACCTCTCGTGTAAATTGTTATCTAGGACAATATGGCAGGCATGCTGGAGGAGGGGAATCCTCGGGATCTTGTCCTCCAGCAATTCATCTATCAGCAAAATAATCAGGCTCATCTGGTTCCTTTCCACGCTTTTTTCAAGGGACAAAAGCATTTGTAGAGAGAAAACGTACTTGTCCAAGCCTTTCTGGGACAAAATCAGTAATGTTTTACGACATCGTATTAAATTACGATGCATTATTTCGACATCAAGCCCGCTTTCTCCTTCGTCTCCAGGAACATTGTAAGATATTCCACTTTTATCAAGAAAAGGAAGGATAGTCTTTTTAATGCGCAAGTCGTCCTCTTCATAGTAGGTCAAATACAGATCCTTGACCTCTGTTTGGTCAAGGTCGACTGAACCCTGTTGAGACATTGTCAATAACGACCCGCCTGCTATTGTATTGTTTTTAGGTTATCAGCTTTCTGTTGTAGTTGTTGCTGTCATTGCTGGCGGTGTGGTCATCTTGATGATCGCTTCTTCTGAAACAATAAACACCACTGATACCTTTAAATCTGAGTGTCACTGAGACAGCCGACAGGGGAGATAACTGTTTATTTAGTTACGCTAAATTTCATCTAGAAATGTAACCTGTGTTTAACATGAAGGCTTGAATCCTTGTGTGAGAAAAATAATTTACGTAGGGATTTTTTTTAACCATTCTACAGTACAATTTATTCCCCAATAATACAGAAACGTATAGAATCTTATGCTGTCTCGCACACAGAGAAGAATCAGACAATACGAAACAGAATTCTGGGAAAGGAGGACGTTTTACGGGTTATCTCTATTCAAACTTTTACTCGTGTTGTTGTTGTTTGGGGATCGAGGGGGTCACAAATCGGGACACCTTCATATCCCCCCTCCCCGCTCTTTCATAAATCTGGGTTATGGTACTGGTGAGAAAATTTAAAGAGTTAGTTCAAATAAATGCCTGATTTTAGGTAATGCTAAAATATTTAGTGAGTTATTTTTAAGGTCAGGTAAGTAGGTGTCAGGTTAAAGTAATACATGTATAATACATGTTAATTGAGGTCAGTTTTAATTGATTTTAAGCAAACACTCATCTAGGATTTCCCAACTACAGCGGTAAAGAAATAAGCAATTGCATATACCTGTGTAGACTTGCATTCAGTCTACATGATTATGTTCTTATCTATGGACTTGCGCAAGTCTAAAAGGTGGCCAGGATACTGTAGACTTGCTCAAGTCAATAAACACCTTCCAATATAAAAAGATAGAAAATGTGTGATAATCAATGAGATCAATAGCAAGTCTAATATTTGTCGACTCTCACAATATTTGTTGAGGGTGGGAGTGTGTGAGTGTGTGTGTGTGGGTGGGTGGGGGGGGGGGAGTCATCTGATTACTTTTGACGTACAATATTGTAAGAATAATTCCATACCCTACAGCTAAATTATATTACAACACTCTAAAGAAAGGCTGGAATATTAAAAATATATACTTTTTGGTCGTATAGGGCCATATATATACTGTATATATACAATGTACTTGGTAATTTTTTTATTTTTATTTTATTTGTTTGCCAACTCTATAATATGTATCAACTCCCATGTATAAGCAAGCTATAACACATCTGAACATGTAGGATGAATCAATTGTAAAATAAATAAACGGTGAAGCGTTTTTGTATTATTTCAAAAATATATGACCCCCGATCTCCCCACCCCACCCCACACCAATTCCCAACAGCCATATCCCCCGATCCCTTCATGATTATTTTAACATCCCCCGATCCCTTCATGATTATTTTAACAAATTTTCATACATACAATCAGAAGATATCTGTGGGTATGTTTGTCAAATACAATCCTTAATTCGGTGAAGGTTTGCTTATATCATTCAACAAGTTCTAATTTAATATCTACATATACTTTTCTTGTATATTTGTTGCGACGTCGCACGCTATGACCCTCTTTTTTATTTTCAAAAGAGGGACATCACCCTCTTTCAGTATATCCAGGGTTGGCAATTCATGTATGTATCAACTTTAGTTACATGGATATTTGATGATTGATTTGATGAATTGTTAGGATAGCTGATGTTAAACTAAAGAGCAAATATTAGTCTAATTTCAAGTTATTTTGATAAAATTACAAAGTTTTATCAATTTGATATCCCGGTACTTTAGTTCGGTTTCCCTTTTAGACCATACCCACGTGCACGTGTACATCAAACTAACTGTGGTATACACCCGATTTATGTAACAGATATGCTTTACCTCATTCAATATGCAATGCACATGTACAGCTGATGTACTGTACTTCTATAATCAGGTCCAGTACACTCTGCCGATTGAGCTATATAGCTATAAAGACCTATATAGCTATATACACCTATAAATTATAGCTGTATTGAGCTATATTTTCTCAGATTTCAAATTTCATTAAATTAAAGCAAAGTCGCATAAAACAATAAGGTTAATGGTAATGTTGACTACAAAAAGCATACAGTTAGATGTTTATTTTCATTTTTCATAAATGTAAAATTTCCGATTTCTTTACATCATTTTTTTTTAAAAAGAATACTTATATTTAATGTCTTTTGTTATCAACCTAATGATACAATCTTCTTTTAAATGCGACTTTGTTCCGTTTTCCTTAAAAAAGAAAATCACTTGAAAATAGCTCAAAAGACCTATTTCAGATAGGTCAATAGAGCTATTATAGGTCTTTACAGCTATATAGCTCAATCGGCAGAGTGTACTGTACTTACATAACGTACATGACGTACATTGTGATCTTGACATGTTAGGGGCTTCTTGATAAAGAATAGAAATAGCTTGTGGCAGGGATAGCCTGTCCAAGTATTATGGATAGTGTAGTCATTAAATTATAATGTTTTAAGAAAGGCGGATGAATGAAGTAATATTAGTGGAGTTTAATATGTAATTATGTCTTGTTTGTTCAGGTGTACATGTATTGTGTGTTTAGTATCTTGTCTTGTTCAGTGTCATTGTCCATGTGTCAGTTGTTCAGTGCCATGTGCTTTTGTTTATGTTTTGTTCTGTAACCTGTGACCTGTTTGTGACCTGTAACCCCATACTTACCTGTTGGTCATGTGACCTTTCCTACCTGCCCATGCAATTCACCTGAGTGTAAATCAGTTCTGGCAGACAGGTTGGAGGGATGGACCATATGTAAAAGGTAGGAGTTAATATGTTCAAAATTAATGTAATTTTGAAGATACTCTTTTCATGTAATAGCTAACTGTAAAACAGATTGTATTTACTCTCCAAATTA